GAGCACGTATCTTAACCGTTAATGTTTTATCTAGAATTATAAATAAAGGCAAAAAATAACAGGTGTAGTATTTAAGCTTATACATTAAATGGACCTATAATTTCGGAGGCTCTCAGATAGGAACTAGAACTACTATCGTTTGCAAACTCTTGTAGTTTGTCATTAAGCACCTTTTTGAAGGAGGCCAATGTACTTGCTTGACGCATTTCCATTGGTAGTTTATTCCATATCTGTGCATACCTAATCAAGTAAAACTTTTGCCTGGTGGCTGTTTTACATTGTTCGATAGCTACTGTACCCTTAGTGTGTCTTAGCTTGTAGCCATTGTTATCTGAAAGTCGAGTGTCATTAATAGAGGTAAAAACTAAGTGGTTTAGAAGCTTGTAGTAAAGTGTTAAGTTTAGTCTCAGGCGTCTTAGCCATAGTCCTAGGGTATCACATCTAGTGGAGTAGTTCGCACCATTTTCGGTTCCGAGTAATTTTAACGTGAAGTATGCATCAACAGTCACCCCCAGCTGATAGTACTACGAGCGAATTACCAACCTGTCGACACAAATGGAAGCTGCTCAGTGTTTTTTCAGGGTAGCAGGAACAGATAGAATTCAGACACACAGACCTCTGCAGACCACTGAAATGTTACAATGGCAGCCCGACAAACTACCGAAGAGGGGAAAGTCAAACCTTTGCGTGAACTGGCTCAGCATCATGCTCCTGTCCACAGAGGGCAAAATATTCAACCGCATCAGACTCGAAAGCTTAAGTGGTGCTGCAGATGTGGAAATCCAAAAACATCTTATGGCACCCACGGAGAAAATGACATGCGCACAGCAAACTGCTTTACTGTGCCCCACAATCAATGCAGTTTAGAATTATAGCCAACACTCCTTCTACAATTCTCCGCCTTTGAGAAGTCATTCAAGAGCATAGGACGGGAAACGGTTGGGTCACTGCCTCAAAACCACGCAGCAAAGTGTTTTTAACGTTTTTGAGCCTCGTTCAACGCCAATATAATAATGATTCATCTAAAGGGATTCACAATAGAGTACTCAGGGAAGTTTTTGAAGGGAAAATAAGGGTAGGAGCGAGAATGTGACCATGCATTCGACTTAGGAAATACCCTAGAACATCAAAAATTCACAGATAATTTATGTCTTGTCTCGCAAATGCGAATATATGTGAGCAAAACTAATCAGATCTCAAGAAAATCAGCGGTATGATAGCGGTGAAGAAGTTACACGATTGACAAGAAGCACTTATCAACGTCAATGGTAGAAACCTACATTAATCCCTCTTTTTTCACTTACCTCGGCAGCATCACTTCAACTACAGTCAGTACATATGAAGATGCAGAAGTGATTAGCCAGAAGTGAGAAATGAAGACCAGCATCTACTGCTGTGAAATCTGTATGGGAACCTACTGCATTAGTTGCCCCTATGTCCTAATAATGGTGTTTTGGAGGTTGACGGTATCGACGTTCGCGAATTGTACGGAGTATACTGACGCAAGATCTTATACCAACAACTTCTATAGTATTCGTTTCTCGTGTATCAAAGACAAAGCAAAAGGCAAGATTGATCGTCCAAAGTACGAGATATATTTCGGGACCGTATAGTAAACCGTGTTGAGTGCTTAGCTAGCTAGTGATCGTGCACGAACGTGACACGAAGGAGTACCAAATGGCATGGATGCTTGTCCAGAAGCCTTCAGCTAAACAAGTCGACTTAAGCAGTGAGGGTCAGCATCCGATGTTCAGTGATGATTGCTCTGGTCAATAATTTTGAAGAATTATTTACCGCTAGTGTCCAAACAGTCAGTGATTCTATTTGGAAGCTTGTTGCCGGACGTGATTATTATTATTCCCTTGAGTTCCTAGTGGAACATAGGGCTTCAACTGCACGTCTCCACTTGCTTCTGTCTTCTGTTGTACTTTTCACCTGCATCCATGTTAGTCCATACTGTTTCAACTCCTCTTCATACGATCTCCTTCATGTCACCGTCGGACGTCCTACTCGCCGTTTCCCTTTCGGGTTCCACTCGAGCTGGCCTGACGCGCGATGTCACCCAACGGCCTCCTCAGCGAGTGTCCAATCCATCTCCACTTTCTCCTGCATACTTCTTGAGCGATTGGTTCTTGTTTTGTTTGTTCCCATAGTTTCTTGTTGGTGATTCTTTCCGGCCGTCTGATCTTCAGTATAGAGCGAAGACAGTTGTTGATAAAGGTCTGCAACCTGTTGGAAGTATTGTTTTTGTGACACGCCAAGTTTCTGATCCGTATAGAAGAACTGACTGACTTGACGTCTGTATTGAAAATCCAAATTTTGTTGTTGATGCAGGCTGAGTGACGAAGATTTCCAGATTGGTTTTAAGTTGATGAATGTGTTTCTCGCCTTCCCGATTCTCGATTTGACATCCTCGAGTAATGAATATCAATTAGGAATATCATTGGTGATAATAAGCACCCTTGTCTGACTCCTGTGTTTACTCCAAAAGACTCGCTGAGTTTTCCGTTGTGGATCACTTGACATGTGCCGTTGTCGTACAGCTGTCGAGTAAGGTTGATGAATATTTGGGGTACGCTGTAGTACTTGAGTAGTTTCCAAATTACTTCGCGGTCAACGCTATCGAAGGCCTTCTCAAAGTCTATAAAGTTGAGGTAGAGGTTTGATTGCCATTCCATGCTTTGTCAGATGATGATGCGTAAAGTTGCAATTTGGTCAGAACATGATTTACCTTTCCCGAATACAGCTTGTTCTGGTGGGAGTTCTGTATGCAGTGCGTCCTTTATTCTCCCCAGGATGATGCGACTTAGAATTTTACTTGGCGTCGACGGGAGCATGATTCCTCGCCAGTTCTTGCAGAGTCCCAGGTCACCCTTCTTTGGTAGTTTCACCAGGTAACCTTTCCTCCAGTCAGTAGGCACCTTTCCCTCCTTCCAGATCTTTTGCAATAATGGAGTCAGCATATCTGCCGTCGTTTCTGGGTCCGCTTTCAGTGCTTCCGGGGGTATTCCATCTGGTCCAGCTGCTTTTCCAGCTTTCAGAAGCTTGATTGCGTTCAAGGCTTCAGCTTTCGTTGGAGGGTTGGTGTCAATCTGCAGTTGTGTACGTGCTGTTGTTGGTATTTCTGGACGGGTTGTAGGCGGTGGTCGGTTCAGGAGTCCTTTGAAGTGGACCGCCCATTGTTTAATCTGTCTTTCTTCTTTGGTAATTGGGTTCCCTTGGGTGTCTTTTGTAGGTTTCACTTGTGTTGATCTCTTCCCGGATAGAGACTTGGTTATCTGATATAGTGTCCTCAGGTCCCTTTTGCCTGCTGCCTTCTCAGCTTCAGTGGCCAGGTTGTCGTAGAATTGTCTTTTGTCCTTCCTGGCACTCTTCTTCACTTCTTTGTCCAGTGTTGTGTAAGTTGAGTTCAGCGTCTCTTTCTCTTGTCCCTCTTTGCATTGAATCATTTTCTCTTTCACCATTCTCCTCTCCTCTATTAGCTTCCAAGTGTCCGTTGAGAGCCATTCCTTGTCTTGTTTCTTCTTTCTTCCTAAAACCGCTGAACACGTTTAGTTGAAAATTACCTTCAGAGAGTTGCAATGGTCTTCCACGCATGACTTCTCAGTGATGCCACGTAGTGTTTCCTGCTTTGCTCTGACAGTTGCAGTGAAAGTGTCCTTTGTGGTTGTGTCCTTCAGTTTGTGAGTGTTGAACTTGCATTGTGGCCTATCCCCAGCTATCTTCGAGGCTTTTAGCATCACATTGAAAGTCCCTTGTACTAGATAGTGGTCTGAACCCACATCTGCTCCTCTCCTCGATCTTGTGTCCAGTAGGCTCCGTCTCCACTTCCTTGAGATTGAAATAAAGTCTATCTGGTTTTTGGTGTGTCCATCTGGTGAAATCCATGTCGCCTTGTGTTTATCCTTGTGTTTGAACACACTGCCACCAATCACCAAATCATTGAAGGCGCAGAAGTCTGAGAAGAGTTCACCGTTGTCGTTTATTTCACCGAGAGCCTGACGACCCATGGTGAGTTCTCTTCCTGTATTGTCTCCTCCCAGTTTCGCATTCATATCGCCCATCAGGATTTTGATATCGCTCTTTGGGACGTTGTCCATTACTGTTTGTAGTTGACTGTAGAAATCCTCCTTCTTCTCTTGTTCTGAGACGTTTGTAGGCGCGTAGCATTGAATGATTGTAACCTTCCTTCCTTTTGAGTTGAACCTGGCTGTCATTATCCTGGAGGAGATTGGTTCCAACTGCATGAGGGCTTTAGCCGCTGTTGGTGACATCATGATGGCTACTCCCTCGGTGTGCTCGTGATTGTCCTCTGGGTGACCGAAGTAGATTATTGTCTCTCCAGTTGGTAGTTGGCTCCTTCCGCATCCGTTCCATCTGCTCTCGCAGATTCCCAACACTTCTATTTTATATCTTCTCATTTCTGCCTGGGCTACCTGAGCAGCCTTTCAAGTTTCGTACATTGCACGAATATTCCACGTCCCCATCCTTATTTTTGCTTTCATCGAAAGGAGGCACATCGGCTGACTGGCTTCCCGAAGGTTTTTACCAGCCTGCGTCATTTCACTTCCTCGATTCCAGCGAAAAATAAGGTTATCGTTTATATTTTTAGAATTTTTTTAATATATTTGTGCGATGAAGTTTCTGTAGCAATTTGGTTAAGTTTTGGGGGTGGAGTTGCTAGCACCACGCCCCAACCCTCCCTCTTTATCCGGGCTTGGGACCGGCTAGAAAACTTGTGAGCTAGTAATCTAGGCGTGAAGCTAGCTAAAATGGGAAGTTGAGAACAGAATACAGCCTGGATGAACTGCTGCATCCCTGTGCTCTTCTTGGTACCAATAGTTATATTGCTGATAACAATTCACAATAATTCACACAATCAACTCTACTGAAAAGAGACGATAAAGTTCGAAGTGGTTGACACTTCACACACTGACGTCATGATGGTTTGTTTTCTGTATAAACTATGTAACTGTTAGATCGGATTGTACATTGTCCACGACTAATTGACCTTAATTAACGATCAAAACAAAAATCCACCCATCTTTTAAATACATTTATTGGGCGCGCATTCTGTTGGGTCGCACGCTGTGTCTAAGCAACTGTTTTGATACGTTATATTCTGTCACCCAGTATCTGTCATCAAAATGGCTCTCCACATTCCTAAAGCTCCGGGTTTCATGTCAATGCTGAAAGAAGGTGCTAGGGTAACTTTATAACTACATGATACATAATTCCTCAGTACTTCGAAGGCTTAGAAGAAGCGGTGTATCGTAACATTGAAGCGTGTTTGGCGCTCACGAAGTCAATACGGTCTACTTATGGACCTTCTGGGCAGAACAAAATCGTTATAAATCACATTGGTCGCCTGTTTGTAACGAATGATGCTGCTACAATCCTCAAGGAACTTGAAGTCGCCCACCCAGCCGCGAAAATACTCGTTATGGCATCTCAACAACAAGAACAAGAGGCTGGTGATGGTACAAATATTGTATTTCAGCTTGCCGGCGCTCTACTAGAACAGGCTAGGGATCTTCTACGAATGGTAGGTTGGTTGATTTTTCTCAGCATGTAATATGAATTCAGGGCCTCTCAGTAGCACAAGTAACAAGTGGCTATGAAATGGGGTGCAAAAAGGCCTTGGAAATACTTAATGGTAAGTTGTTTAGAGAATCTCATACTTTTTAAAGAACTTGTGGTTGAGAATCTGAATGACTTGCGAAGTTTCAAAGATGTACGTCGTGTGATTAAATCTGTTGTGATGAGTAAACAAGTCGACCTAGCTGATTTCCTCTCGGATCTGATAACACACGCATGTAGTAAGTCGACTGATTCATTTGCGTCACTTTTTAGTTGAAACTTTGCCACAGAAGTCACATTTCAACGTTGATAATATTCGGATTTTGAAAATATTGGTAAGTTCGTTGGTTTTTACAATGTAATGTAATCTAGATGGTTTGAAATGTGCATTTCGAAATAGTGACTCGTGCATTACATGTAGTCCCGCCTCACAAAAATACGACTGAAGAATATTTGTTAAAATTTTTAAGTTAATGACCCCGTGAAATTCTTGGTTTATTTCCTTTGTAATTCAATTGTCGGTCTTATCCTCTTTTTTCCGGATATTGCAGAATGCAGCACTGTATTATTTGATGCACTTGAAGTGCCACTCATTTTGATGGACAGTAACAATGGCACTTCATTTCATCAAGTTCTCTACCTCAAACAACTTCGGTGAAGTTTAGTGTAGCTGGTAATTTCAAGCTTCTGGAATATGTTGACAGAAAACCAACATGGACGCGACTAAATACCTATTATGGCTGACATTTCGTAGATGATAGTCAATAAATATTACTTTCCTAAGCTAATCAAGTAGACTAACTCAGCAGTACTTTTCCTATTCGAAAATGGAGTCCTGTTAGATATTTCGTTTACAGGCTTGCGAACGTCTGCTATACCATCTGTTTGACTTGCACTGAAATCGCGTTAATTGTTCTTGTCTGAAGTGTAATTGTAGACGTCATGTGGACAGTGATGTTCCTGTCTCGTATATATGCGGGTGTCAATCTTAGTGTATCACTGGGTAAAACTAATGACAGCGGTTGAATTTCGATACAGGACTCTGCACAGGAGTGCAGCAATTCAAGTCACCTCAGTTTATGATGCATACAAAGGTAAGAGAAACTAACGAAAAATAGTGAGCACAAATGTGAGGGAATATATATAGTAAGATGGAAAAAACGAAGATTTGACAGATACAGACCATAACAAGTAAATACAACTCTCTGTGCCAGAGAACGATTTTGAGGCACGTAACCAATAGTCTCTAGTCATTAGTTCTTCGAATCCATGGGATTCGGCAATCTACACCTAGTTATGATGCTCAAATCAACTACCAAAGACTTCAATTTATTGTACTGGATTTCAGTGTAATCCTATGTAACCTAAGATTAGTCGGCGAGGACTGAGATTACTTTATATGTGTGGCATTTGTGAGTCATCTCACTAGGTACCGCGTCGCAACTTCACCAGTTGACTTTCTTTACTTACCTCACACTACTAACATCAGTAGGTCCAAATAATATCTCACTGGTGAACGTACTTCAGTTAGGATGCATTTACTTAGTGTAATTTTTCCACCCAGTCACTAGTTAGTATGTCCATTTCTACATAGTCCAGAATTGATTCTAATACAAAAATTAGTGTTCTATGAATTCTTTAGTATCTTCATACTTCTACATCCGTATATTGATTTTTCTAATTAACACAGGGTTCTGGTGTTGGTCATTCAAAGATGATAAAAGGTATGGTGTTTCGTCGAGAAACCGAAGGGGAAGTTAAGGAAGTCCGTGATGGCAAAGTCGCTATTTTCTCTTGTCCCGTTGATGCACTTCAAACAGAAACCAAGGGTACAGTCCTGCTTACGTCTGCTGACGAACTCACTCAGTTCAGTAAAGGTGAAGAGAATTCGATGGAAAAGGTAACTGATTATTTCATTATGCATACGTTGTAGCATTATTTCATGTTCGGAATTGTTTACAATAAGTACTTCAACTTTCATCTTCAGTTATTTGGTTAGTTTCGAGGTTAATTAAACATTTTTGTCAGTGTAATGTAGTAGGCAAGATGATATACTATTGTGAGAGGGTGTTAACCAGCTTAAGTTTGCCAAAGTGCAGCGATTTTATACCTGTTGCCCTAGATTACTCAGCAGCAGTACGACTCTTCTGCAATATAAGTTGGAGTCTTTATGCTTTCGTATATGTTTCTTAAACCTTGCGTTCATTTGTCTGAATATTTTGACTTTGGCAATGTAAAATTTTTGAACTTTACGTTATACAGCTCAACAGTCACCAGTTCATGCAATGGGTTTACACTATCATCTTCATATAAATTAAGGCTCTACTGCATGCTTTTTCCAATTTTTAGTGACTTGACTTTTCATGCCCTCAAAACGTAGTAAGTTCGTATTTCCGACGCAACACTTATCTACTTACATTAATAACACCTTAATTACATGCCAATACTACCTATCAATTTAATGCTGCAATTAATTTTTTTTTAGCACATGCGTTCTCTTTCGGATGCTGGTGTGAAAGTTATTGTCAGTGGAGGGAAAGTGGGAGAACTGGCATTACATTACGCTAACAAGTTGGGCATGATGGTGGTAAAGTTGAGCAGCAAGTTCGACGTTCGACGTCTCTGCCGAGCAACTGGAGCTGCGGCTCTCCCACAGTTGACTACTCCCACACCTGAGGAGTTGGGCCATGTTAATCATGTGTATACGGAAGAAATAGCAGACGCCAGTGTAGTTATATTTGAACAAGGTCAGTTTATCTTAATGTATCCATTTTTGAATTGAATTTTTACACGCCATGGTTTTAATCGGTTGTTTCTGACTTATTTACGCTGGTAGATAAACATGAAGGAACTATAGTCACTTTGGTAATTCGTGGAAGCACAGAAAATATCATGGATGATGTAGAGCGTGCTATTGATGATGGTATCAATACATACAAGTGTCTTACACGTTGTCCAAAATTGGTTGCAGGCGCTGGAGCCGTGGAGATAGAGTTAGCTCGCCGCTTGGCGTCATACGCCGATACTGTGCCTGGTCTGGAACAATATGCAATCAGAGAATTCGCACGCGCTTTTGAAGTTACCATCAAAGTACTGGCCGAAAATGCCGGCAAAAAGGTACATAATTAATCGTGTGTAAATCATATTTCCAACCATGTATTGTTTGTTCATATTACCCAGCGAAAAGCTTACTATCTGTCAACAATAATTCAGTTTCGTTTAACGAATAAAACATTCAGAAATAGTCATGACACCTAAAATTCATAATCGTAAAGATTTGTCTAGACCACAGAGATATAGTTAGTTGATGTAAAATGGTAGAAATAAACTAAATACAGTTCGTAAATAAAAAGTAGGAATGTACATTGGACGGAAATTTATTGACCAGAGATGTCATATGTCAGTAACGTAGAAAAATATGTATGTTAAGTGTTTTACAGATTCAGATGATAAGGACAGAAGGCTCTTGTGGCCTGTGTTAATTCTTGCAAAATATATCTCTGCAGAGATCTAACTTCTCTTTGAAAGCGTTCAACGATGGAGCTGATACAACTGAATCAGGTAAGGAGTTCCAGTCGTTGACCACTCTGTGAGAGAATCTAAATTCTGCACGTATTTTAATCGTTCTCGGTTTGAGCACCTTTTTGCGGTGAACCCGTAAATGTATCCTAGAAGGGGAGAGAAGTTTGGAAAGGTCAGTTCCTAAATCACCCTTAGGAATACGGTATGCTAAAATTAAGTCCCCTCTCTTCCTTCGATATGATAACGAGAAGAGATTTAAATGCTCCATCCTCTTATCACCTCTTATCCTCTTACCACTAACTAATTTCGTTCCCACCCTCTACTCTTTCCAGGATATGTGCCTCCTTTTTGAAGCATGGACCCGCCGCTTGTACGCAGTTTTCTAGATGAGGCCTGACATATGTTGCGTAGAGTATTTGGAACATGCCCTCATCTAATCGTTTGAAAGTCCTTCGGAGTGCCCATAGTATTCGAAAAGCCTTAGCTGCGGCTGCATTGCAATTTGCAGTTGTTTTCAAATCATTGCTGGCAATGATTCCTAGGTCCCTCTATTCGTTAACATCAGGTAGTTCTGTGTCCCCTAGGGAGTACGACGTATAAGACTTCTGACCTAAGTGCATTACCGCGCTTTTCCTAGAATTCATTTCCAAACTCCACAGGTTCGACCACTCAGCTAATTTATCTAGATCAGTTTGTAGGGCCGACCTATCCTCGTTATTATTTACAGTTTTCCATATCTTAATGTCGTCTGCAAATAACAATGAAGATGAAGTAAGAATCCCCGGTAGCTCATTAACATATAATAGGAATAGCAAGGGGCCTAATACAGTTCCCTGAGGCACTCCACTGGATACTGCTTTCAACCCTGATAGTACACCGTTAACTCTAACCTTCTGCCTTCTATCCATTAAGTAATCCCTAAACCACTCACATAGGCATTGGTCTAGTCCGAAACCTTTAAGTTTACTAAGGAGACCTAAGTGGGATACTTTGTCGAATGCCTTGCTAAGATCAATAAAAACCACGTCCAACAGAAGGTTTTTATCTCTGGCCTCGACCCAATCTTCCCTAGCTAACAGTAAGTTTGTCAAGCAGGATCGTCCTGGTCGGAATCCGTGCTGTTCCACTGCCAGTAATCCATATGTTTTACTGGCAAAATCAACTTCAAATTTTTTCTGTATACAAGTTTCAAGTTCAAAGTACTAATGGTTATAGCTTCTTCAGTTTAAAGCACTATGCGTGAACGGTCCCCTCGCCAGCTCCCAATATCTACTTGTCGTTGACGCAGTTTTGTGGCTAATATAATGACATCATTCTTGGTAATATAATAAGACTCGCATTATCAATGTTCTATAAGTATAACAACAAATTTTTATGAACACTAGTGGGATTCAATTCTGCGAATAGCTGCCACCTTGGTATAAGCCCGTTTTGTACAAAATCTTAAATGCCATTTTAACACCAATCTTACCATTTATATCCATGACATGTTTTGGTCTAGGTAGAATGTGCATATCATAGTTAAGAAGTTTAATCGTTTTTCAAACTATAGATATGGGTTGTCAAATAAGCTATTCGTAAATATTAGCTCTTATTGTGTGCACAAGATCAATTTATTGTAAATTTATCCTACTTTGGTAATCTGTGTGATTATATTACCAACAGTAGTACTAATTATCATCCTACTTCTAAATTACCTACTATTATTTTGCTGGTTTTAATGGACCTGTCATTAATTCGTCATACAAATTGATTTGACCAATAGATATGTAGTCAGACTATTGAAAGTGTATTATGCAACGTAACATTTCCCAGATGAACTCCATCTTCTAAGAAATTTCCAGATATACTAAATGCGACTTATGGCTTTAGACTTAATTTTCAAAATAATTCTGTCACCTCTGTTTTCAGGTTACTGAAGTGGTTGCCGTCCTGTATGCAAAACACGAATCTGGGCAAATTCATACCGGTTTAGTGACTCAACCAAACGGTGAAGTTTCCGTTAGTGATGCTGTTAAATCTGAAGTTTTGGATATTCATCTTTTGAAACACTGGGCTATACGTTTTGCTACAAATGCTGCTGTTACCATATTACGAGTGGATCAAGTAAGCATTTCAAATAGTGTTACTTTTATTCGTAACGAACACTAGAAACTGTAGGTTTGTAGATATACATACAGCTGGTTTGCCTTCATGACGCAAATATCCTATGAAAACTATAAATTCGTGTTTTGGGAATTTACGCTGAGGAAACTACAATTCACCTAGCGAGGAAGCTTATTCTACTTTCACCCCATATAAGTCACAGGTTCAAATACCGTTCAATCATCTGTTTAAGGAACTTGCAGACAGGGTGCTGGATCACATATTAAGTGTTGTATTGAATCATTGTTGTTTTCAATCAATAAGTGCTTAAGTGATCTCATTTAGTACATCGATACTTTGAAGAAGTCATTCTTTTTATAATAGAATTGATAGTTCATCTAATCTTAGGGTATTCACCCTAGAGATTTTTCTCATGTGCCAGGCTACGATCAACATATCACCCAATCTGCTAGGTAAAGATAGGTGCGGAATTCGAATCTGGAACCTTTTGACCGATAGCGAATTGCTAACACCAATAAACTGCATCTCCCAATTGGAGTTCATTGTTGTCGTTCTTACTGAGGTTGTCAGAGAGTATTGGTTTGTATTTCTAAGTGATAATTTTTATAGATGCCAGAAAGGAATCAGGTTCAACCCTACAAAATGTTACACCCTCCATGAAGTGTAAAGCAGTTTTTCAATCACAAAGGAATCATGTGATGAAAATTCAGTTCAATTGTATTCGGTCACATGAAAGCATTTACTCAATCTTCCTCGGTTATTAATAATAATAATAATACTCACTTATCAATAACTGGCATTTATTATTAAAAATGTATTAATGGTCTCTATAACCAATTTGGTTGACAGTGCTGTGTGAAACGTACTCTTCATTTCCTAGTACGGCTTTTGTGAAGCTTTATTACATTAAGTCACACTCGACTCATCGAATGTGTAAGCCTCATTCCATCTACATATCTCTGTTTAACAGTGTGGTAATCCACTTTGAAATAATAGAAGCTAATTATAGTTTAAATGAATATACCAAAGTAGAAAGTACCAGACTCCAGGTAATTGTCCACCACGATATCCGAAGAACTGATTCTTATTCCCGGGATTTCTTTTGTTTTTGTTTCAGATTATCATGGCACGTCCAGCTGGTGGACCTAAACCTCGTGATCCTAAAGCCGCAGATGAAGACTGATGAATATTAACACCTAAGTTGTGAAATGGCTTTGCTTGACCAACTGTTCGATTGTATTGTTATGTATCTTTGAAAATAAATCATTATAACCTACTCGTTTGTTTTCATTTTCATGAACTCTTGAGGTACTTACGTTGATTTGCGAAATGTAGTTATATGAAAATGTGAATGGACAGGATACAGTGTTTAATATGTAAAAGTCTCGTAATATATGTATTTTAACGAAATAAAGTGTCTTTTGCTAAGTTCATATTTAGTGTGTATTCATGAGGTAATAAGCTCCATAACTTAAATGGTAAGATCGTGTGTTTTAAAATGAAGCGATTGTCATTGTAAATCTTGTCGGAAATCTTATAGTAATGTGTAAAGATTAGTCTATAATGTTTTCATCAGCTGGCCTGTATTTCTTAATTACTGGACAATAATATTAACTTGAAAAGTTGTACAAATTTTAGACTTCTGAGTTGAACAAATTATTATTTTTCTGCAGCTCCTCATCCTCATTAGGAATCTTGATTGTTGCATGAATAAATTTATTGATGATAGGAAATTAAACAGTAACTCACTGAATAGAATACTTTCTACAATTTCAGTAATGCTGCAACATCTCAATGTCTTTTGTAAATTTGTATTGTTTTTTCTAAGGATTCAAAGTGTGGCTGTTGTGTATTGGACGTTTAAATCATAACTGGTCTTTGTTCATCTGTCAAATACATGTATGCAGACAATACTACGAAATTTGGTGATAGTATTTATCATGGATATGAAACTGTTGATTCTGCGGATGACTCAGATGAACCAGTTGATCCGGAATATATTAACCTCTTAGAAGAACTTGAAGGTAATGAACACGTGGACGTAGACTTATACTCTGTTTTGGGTGTTGAGAAAAATGCATCCGCGGCTGATTTACGTGCAGCCTACAAACGTCTATCATTGCTCTTCCATCCGGATAAACATTCCACCTCATCTACTGTGGATGGATGTAGAACAAACCTTAATTTATTAGATGCGGAATGTACATTCAGTCGAATATCTTCAGCATACGCAATTTTAAGTGACCCTAAACAACGTGCAATTTATGACAATTTCGGTTATAAAGGTGGGTAAATTTTACCTAAAATTTCTAATTCTTTCAATCCTGTTTCTTTTTATTGACGTACTTATTTAAATTATCCTGACCTGAGAAATTGAAAACATTTGAAAAACAATCTGAGGTAATATTGCACTCGTGCAGGATTATTCTGACGAAACCAACCTCTGGTTAGCTGGGATTTTTATAATTTAGAACTAACAGTCTCATCTGCTACTTAAGCGTTGTTCTCGAGTTTGCTGCTGTGTTGTATCATCCTTTTAAATTGTAAATTTTGAGACGCTCATTACTACAATACCAAGAGCATTGGTCAGACTAGAATTAATCACAATTTGATTATAATGAAGCCATCCTCAGAGAATTACAAAGTAATATAAGGTCAGGAAGTAATAAGTGTTGTTGCGCTAACTTCTCCGTTTCCCTTAAGGGTTCTTAGACAGGGTTGAACATACTCTAGAGGCAGATGTAAAAAAGTCTTCACATACTTGAAATTCTAGCTATCCATCTAATATCCTAATGTGTATTTTCTACGTGTTAAAACCGGTGTTAAATTCAGGACTGCTGTTTACAATTCAAATTTTCATGATGTCTAACTCGAACACCTTCATGTTTATACTCAATGTTACACTTCCAGTGATTAATCGATTTCGGATTTCTCTTCAGGCTTACAGATGCAAGGTTGGCAAATAACAACTTGTCAAAAGTCAACACCTGAACTGCGTTTAGAATATCTTCTTCTGAAGGAAAAAGCGAAAGCATCCAAACAACTTCAAATGACACAGCCGAACTCCGAATTTTCATTCGGTTTGGATTTGACTGACGTCTTTGATCGTTACTTGAAGGTTAGTTTGTATAAATAATTGATTCTTTGATCCATTATTTATCATTTCACAAGAACAGAATGAACTTGTGTTCAAATAAAAATCCACTGTTAGGTTTTTGTAGTTTACTTAAAGGATATGTATTTTACGGTCATGTGAAGAGGAGATGAAAACGTGTGGGCAGACATGGAGCCAGGTGAAGACTCTAGCAGAGAACCGAACGCAATGGAGACGCACGGCTGAAGCCCTATGTTCCTCTAGGAATTAAAGGATACAATAATAATAATAATCTCGACTTTTGTGAAGGAGTAGAGTTCTTGGTTGTTGTTTTTTTATCGCTGTCGACTAATCAACAGTTGCAAAGTGTTACCTGTTTGAACCTGTTAAGAATGAGTGTTTTCCTTCCAGATGAAGTTCATTATTCGTTCTCTACTTATATATATATTTTGTTTTCCTGCCGTCCTTTTTTTATCTATGTTGTTTTATTATTATTGTGTGGCGCATCCTTCTTGGTGCCATATTGTACCAAGTTTTAATGCGTTTAAATAAATAAATAAAGTGTTACCTAACTTCTATATTTAAAAAAAATCACATTCTACACGCTTCCCACAATTCAGTCTCTCTGGTATCACTTAGTTGGTACCCGATAAAACACATCTGCTAAAAATACTAACGCAATTCTGAATCAAACAAAATATGCTTATCCTTGTTTGAGCAGCCTGTGTATTTCAGTAATAAATCAACAGAAAATACAGTGGGAATAATAGTTCATATGCATGTATTCTTGTTCACCTAATTGTCAATGGCATGTGTCAAATGATGTTGTGTATCTTCCCGCCACCAAAATACAACTAGGGCTAAAATAAAAGGTGAAACTGAACTAACCGAATATTTCTATTTTGATCACAGATTACTAATACTCCACCCTTTTTTTATAACCAAAGGTGTCATTAGTCATCTGTGTTGTGTGTGTCATCCAGCCTAGAAAATATTCCTAGTTTACCGGCAATATAATATGGTAACTTTGCATAGTCTTGTTCACTATGACGATGCCTAACCTATACAGACAGATCGTACTATCTAGACGAAGTTAAAGAAGAGTATATTTTATACTTTTGTCGAAGTGGCCATCGGGTATGTTGACACTTGTCTCTTGCCAGCTGATAGCATTTTCTTGGTTCATACAGGAGTAGAAGCAAATTAAAAGTATAGTACAGCCAAGAATTTGAAATCTTGATTGACAATTCATAATTGATGAATTCCACTTCAGCTTTTCCTCAGGTAAAGAATAGGTTTTTTTTTTAATTATGTGATCAATATTTCACCCAGTAGTTTCGCAAATATACGTGCTGAGCAAAGAGTAATCGTATGTAGAGTTATATTTACGGAAATCGTAGCGATATTGAAATGAATAATTTAAAAGTTTTTCCGATAAACTTATCCGAATTTTATCAAGTTTGTGATTTTGTGAAATCTGCAGACTTAACTGAAGTAGGCGATGCCATTGAAGTAGGATAAATCGATACTACTGTTTAACTTTGGTCTGTCTCAAAAAACCCAGTTCACTTGGAAAAAGTTGTACCATATTGACTAGTTCTTGAAGGTGATGTAAGCAGTGAACAAATAGCATAATCTCAAAACATAGGCTAGTGGAAAAAGTGTTTTTGTCAATTGGTAGAGTCAAACGACATAGTGAGTGAAAGGTCACTACAGAAGTCCAAACTTCAATGTTTGAAAATATGCAGATACATATAAGTAAGAAGATATTTAGTGTACTCAACAGCATATAAACCTCATAAATGTCTCGTGAATTAACTAGTTGGTTGGATATAGACCAACTATTCAGGCTTCGGAAAGGTAGGCATAGCATTAAGGTAATTCTGATGTGGTTATCTCATGCTCTTCGATTATAAAATGAAGACGTTCATAATTTTATAAACTTTATGAGCTGTTCGTTTTGTCAGCACGTTTGAAATCCATTCTTTAGAATTTTCTCTTATTATTTATGTTCATTTTATAGGAACCACCAGAGGATCGTTCCATTATTCCTATCCCATCAATTTACGAACTTTCTGTCGCCCAGTCCATTAATGCCGGTATCAGTGTGAACAACTCTGTTAGTTTAGCTGGTCAAGTGACAGCTCATAATGGAATAGGCGTAGGTACATGCCTAGTGATTTGGCGGCACCACTGTTCCAGGAAGTCTATTCTTGGTCCAACCACCATTGATACCGAGGTTAGATTTTAATTTATGTATTTCTTGTAAATCAAAATTATTATTATTACTGTTATTATACCGAAACTTAGTACAATAAAGTATAACAAAATAAACTAAAAATCATAAATATAGTAGACGGAGTCACAATTTATAATCTAGCTTTATATGTGTATTTAATATCTCATGTAGTGTTACACTTTTTTTCAGTGTTCATAAAACTACCTAAGTATCTGGTTTTTCTTAAGTTTTCAACAGATAATGCAATAGCACGATGCTTCTTATCGTAAAAAGATAGTTTCTACAAAATATTCTAATCTTCTGCTTATTGTGATTAATGGAGAGCTTTAAACCATATATTTATTTGACCGTTTGTATGAACTGCTGTGAAGTGCTTAGACTTACAATTCCCGTCATCTATTTATTGCGTTTCTTATTTTAACTTAGATTTCTTACGGTCGTGCTGGACGTGGATTAAGTACCGGAATCAGGGCAAAGCGTACATTTGGTCAACGTTTTGTCGGAAGTTTTGGACTATCTGTAACCAGTTTGTATGAGAGATCTCCAAAATCAAGCATAACTCTTATGCCGAATATTACTGCTGGTTTAAATATCCAACTATTATCACATGTACATGCTCATCTTGAACTGAGATGTCTCATGAATCCAGGCATATCAAGTGATTTATTATTCACCTCTTCTGATGGTGCTTATAATGCAAGAATTTCAAGCAAATTGAATGCATCTGGCTATGCAAGTCTTTCCTTATCACTAGAAAAATCTGTTACATGGTCTTGGCTCAATCCACCTCGAGGATCCGGTGTATTTGAAAAACAAAATACTTCTGAAACTAATTGTGATTGGGCTGACTCAGATGATTTTGATATGGAACAACAACAATCTGACAAAGGCAGTGTATCCTGTACTATTGGTGTTAATACTACAGATGTTGGTGAATTCGCTCTTGCTGCCCAATGTCGGATATCCGCTCTGTCCAAAATCTCTGGCCAGATTCGCTTAAGTCTTCAAAAAGGTGTAAGTGTGAAACTCAGTCTATTACGAGGTAGTCAAACTTATTCCATCCCTTTGCTTTTATCTGAACATCCTGACACAGTTGCGTTTGGCTATGGATTGATCTTCCCTCTTCTTGCATTTTCTGCTATTCGCATGTTAATCTATGAACCTTATCTTTCACGACAATTAGAACTCGCTCAAAAATCTCGCAGGGCAAAACTACACGAGGAATTGACAAGGAAACGAAGAGAGGCGTTGTCTACTCAGGAACTTATGAAAAAAGCTGCATCCCGCAGTAAACGAAATGAAATATCTATTTCAGGTCTAGTTATTGACCGTGCAATGTTTGGTTGTTTTTCGTCAAACTCAGATCCCTCAACTTTATCCGACGCTGGTGGTCCTCTGGCATTCGATGTGACTATTCCCCTTCAAGCTATGGTTGAACAAAGTCATCTACGTTTACCACCCGGTCGATGGTGTGATTTTCAAGGATTTTATGATCCTTGCGTCGGTTTAATAGACAAATCCCGTCAACTTCATGTATTGTATACCTTCCGCAATTGTCCCCACGAAGTGACTGTCAATGAGAATCAAGGTCTAGCTATTCCGATGTCGAAACATAAAATTGAGACGGTTTAACCGTATGTAAAAAAATACCCTGTAGTTGTCTTTCAAATTGCTATTATCTATGCTATCGTGTAATGACTATTTAATGCCTACTATAGCAACAGGACTGTGCATTATTTTTACTATTATTTTACATATACCCTTAATTTCATTTCATGAGAATAGAGTTAGGTCCGTACTTTTTAACTCATTACTTCTATTTAGCACAAATCACTTCATCATATATATATATTTCTGACATAATAAATTTGTAGATACTTTTTGATTTCTCTGCTCTTTGTTTACTGTCATGAAAATAAAAAAAAATTAAAAATCTGCTAACTTGTCATGTTGATGTTTCAGTAAGTGTTAGAGCTCACTTTTCGACGTGCAAGAGATTTGTTTGAAGTAAAACAAATGCCTCTTAGCTTAGTATTGTTATTTACAAGTGATACGTTTCTGCGTTTTCTTATCAGACTATTCGGGGTAATTGTGTGAAGTTCCAGTGTTCAGAAACAAACCATCCAATCTTTCGTAATCCATATCTGTTTATCAATTTTCAAAGTTTGCATTAAATATGTAGTCTCATTCAATTAAAATTACCCCTCAAATAAAAAAAGCATTTTCAACAAAGAGATTTTCACGAAAGTTCAGTGCTTCAAATTGCCACACTTCATAAAGTCAGAGACATACAGAATACGTTGAAATCTGTTTGATTAATCCCCATTATGTCTCAAACTAATCCGAAGTTATCCAGCAATTCTCACAAAAAGAATTACACTATGTTAGGTGTAACCCACGTCCTCACCATCTCAAACGATCAGCCTCACACTTTGATTCACTGACGTCTCCCCTTACTCTCCCACTCTACATCTAGTCTCGCTGATGACAGGCATACGCATACCAAAGAGAAATCTATCTCCTGCAGGTACCTTATTTTTCATATACATTCCGGAAAATTCCTTCACCACCTGTAGAGGGATCGCCCATCATACGTCTCCTGTAACCTTAAAATAATTTGAATACTATCAAACTTGATCTTGTGACCTGATAATATAGCATGTAGAGCCTAAGGCGGGCATCTTCGCTGCATTTCGATCTACGAGTTCTCTTGGGAGTCGGTTGGTTGCCCGTCAGGTGTTCACTGATTCTAAGCTTCATTTCACGAGAGGTTTGTCCCACATATATCGCATCGCATCACATCGCCTTGTGCACATTTTATTACATACAGGCAACTAAGTGATGAGTCGTGTGCAGTTTCAACACTGGCGAATTGTATTCCAGGCATGCTAAGATTTCTGCTCAATTTACTCACAAGACTCTGCACTTCGTCAGACTCTTCATCTGGAAGGACTATATCGTCTGCACACTGTAAACCGCCGAGACTCTTCCCTGATAACTAACTAGTCAGTAATCCCTAAGTCACCGAAGTCGATCACGATCACATGGATTAGTACAGCCATGATGAAATTGAATAGAAGTGGAGACATTGGCCAGCCATGAAGGACACCACTGGTTGTCATTCATAACTTCACATGACAACTCTCCATTAGCTCTTACACGGCTGGATGAGTTCGAGTAGACCGACTGAGTGAGTGAGTGGTGGGATGTGTTTGTTAGTTGGTTGGTTGGTTGGTTGGTTGGTGCGATACATTCTCTTGTCACTGCCTTCACGGCCAGACATTACCACAGTATCTCTCGGTCGACGGAGTGGAATGACGCCTTTAGATGAAGGAATATGTCAAGTGTTGGACGCCGATAGGTGTGACTATGTTGCAGAAGCTGTCGATGAGTGAAGAAGATATGATCGATACACCACCGTTCGTGCCGAAAGCCTGCCTGGTCTGACTGTCTAGCTAGCTGGTTGGCCACCTGCCTAGCTGCCATCCTGAATCACCTCTGAAGTCGTACCACCTGATCGTGAGTGATCCCATGCTAACAGTTGGAGTAAACTGATGCTAATTCAGTCCTAGATTTGCTGACATATCAAAGCGCATGAGTACTGCACACCGGTTCACCCTCTCCTAATCTGCGAATAGACAGACACTGGGTGAAAGTAGACAACATGAAAACGGTAAACATTCGTAAACAAAAGTGTCTTTGTCCAGTTCTTCGTGTTGGATGAGTACTGTCGACATTTGATGTAGATTACTAGGCAGGGGAAGTGATTGAATCGATGAAGTTGCGAAATTGCATCGATCGAGACATTGTTGCAGATGTCGAGGAATCACTCTCCTCGAAGAGGAATGTTGACATAAGTGAGCTTAGATTGGGGTAGTGTGTGTGAGACCAGGTGAAAACATTGCATCGAAGGTTACGCACATTCACTTGACCGAGGTTTTCTCGCATAATCAAGTAGCTGAAGAAATAAATAACAGATGCATGTGAGTGTAACTCTCATCACGTATGTGTTGATGATTGAGAGGTTGCAGGTATCGACGTTCGCGAGTTGTGCGGATTATACTAACACAAGATCTTATACTAGCAACTTCTATAGTGTTCGCTCTTCGAGTACCGGAAAAAAACTAAAAGACCAGATTTCGTCGTCCAAATACGAGATATATTTCGGGACCAAATCGCGGGTAGAAGTGAATGCTTGGCTAGCTATTAATCGTGCACGCACGTGACACAACTGAGTAGCAAATGGCGGGGATGCTTGACCGTAAGCCTTCAGCCAAACAAGTAGACTTAAACAGTGATGGTCTGCATCCAATGTTGAGTGATGATTGCTGTGGTTAATAATTTTGGGGAATTATTTACCGCTACATCTCACTCCCCCGTAGTGGGTTTGTGAGGACCCTAAGACATGACCAGCCGGAAGTAAAGAAATCTCGATGGTACCCTCATGGGTGAAAAAAATCTGCCGAGCGGCTTGATGGAGGGCCTGCTGCTCTGTCTGCCTATGCTAATAGGGTGTCTGTACATAGCTTCCTCGATGTTGTTCGTTGGATCCCGTGCTTCGTTTGTTTCCTGTCCAGTGCCCGTTGCACCTGGAAAAGAAAACAAGAATGCTGAGAACCTTGTCAAGGAAAATGTAACAAATAAGCGTTTTTTTTCCAAAAACAAATGACGTGCATCTGCTATACAGTAAAATAATGTAAAGTTCAAAATATCGGGAAAAAAATATACATCTAATTTAATTTTTTTCTAAGTGCATGTTTAATGTACGGTTATAGGAAAAATATGGTTTACTTGTGTTAAATGATGCTACATAAAAAAAGTGATGTGTCACTCAGTTATGTCAAATAGGTGTGAAGGTATTATGGGAATCTAACGTGACGTCCAGAACGCGTTTTCTTAGAGTGATCGACCGAAGTTTCGGTGGCTTTTGCCGTGCTAGGGAGTTCCTCGAAGACTACAGGATATTCTATTACTTGTGGATTATTGGGTACGCTCAGCTCTAGGCTAATAGGATTACCTTCCAAGTAAGCTGGTTTCAGACGGTCGATACTGACGGTGTCTTCCCGGCCTTTCTTGTCTAAGACGAAGAATTTATCCGTACGTTTAATCACTTTATATGGTCCGTCATACGGGGGTTCTAGAGGGCGACGCACAGAGTCGCGACGAACAAATACGTGTGAAGAAGTTTTTAAACAGGGGTGGACGAAAACATCAATGGACTGTGGTCGGAGGGGAGCAGGTTTAACTGAACGCATAGCGTTTGTAAGCCTGCTGACGTATGAGGAGTGATCTACTGCTGGTGGGAAGCTCGAGGGAGAAACAAACTCACCTGGCAGTCGTAGTGTCGTGCCATATACTAGCTCAGAGGTAGTACAACCAGAATCGGTTTTTAAGGCGTTTCTTATCCCTAGGAGAACTAACGGAATGGATTCAGTCCAATGGGTATTGTTTGCAGCTGATAAACCAGCTTTCAACTGTCTGTGTAGACGTTCTACCATACCATTAGCTTGAGGATGGTAGGCAGTTGTTCGAAAACGCATGCAACCTATGATTTTAGTCAGGGCGAAGAATAAGCCGCTTTTGTATTGCCGCCCGCGATCAGGTGTTATAGAGGATCGGCACCCAAAGTTCACCATCCATCGTTCGAGAAAGACGCGTGCGGCTGTTTCAGAAGATACATCCTTGAGTGGTACTGCCTCAGGTCATCGTGTGAAGGGGTCCAACCAAATGTACATGAACGTTTTCGAAACGAGCGTCAGGGATAAGAAAGGTACCAAGAAGGTTCTGGTGTGTCTTGCTACCTTGCACTTTTGGCAAGCTAAGCACGTGTGTGCCCATTCCCTTACTTCCTTATTAATACCGGGCCAACAAAACCGACTAGTTACGAGCTTGACGGCAGTTCGAATACCTCGGCAGGATAAGCCATACAACGTATTGAAGGCGTTACGGCGATAACTTTTAGGCACTATGGGGCGAGGAGTACTGGTGGAAATGTCGCAGAGAATAGTATCTTTTCCTATACCTAAGGGTTTCTCGGCTAATTGTAGAGTTGTTCTCGGCAACTCATGTTGAAGCTCGGTATCTTCTTTTTGAAGACGAGCCAGTTTCACAAGGTCTGTGCCATCTATTTGGGTGAGGGAACAAATGCGCGACAAGGCATCTGCCACAGTGTTATTCATTCCGGATACATGGCGAATATCCAATGTAAACTGTGGAATGTAGTCCAGTTGTCGTGATTCCCTGGGTGAATACTTATCTGAAGTTGAGTTCAGAGAGTACGTCAGAGGTTTGTGGTCAGTGAAAATGATGAATTCACGACCCGCCACTGAATGTCGAAATGTCGTATAGCACAGTACATAACCAGAAGTTCTCTTCCGAATGTGCTGTACTTCGTTCCGGCTAATTGAAGGCGCCTCGAGAAAAAGGTGAGTGGTTGCCATTCTCTGTTGACTAGTTGTTGCAGAACTGCGCCGATTGCAGTGTCTGATGCATCAAATGAGATACTTAACGGTGCCTTTGGATCCTGATACATTAGAAGTGTGGCATCCGGAATGGCCTTTTTAACCTGAGTAAAAGCATTTCGAGCAGACGCGTCAAGTTCGATAGACTTGTTATTCCCTCGAAGAAGGTCTGTCAATGGCTGAGTCAGAGAAGCACAGTTAGGAATAAATCGTCGGTAATAACTTACCAAGCCGTTAAAAGTGCGAAGACTTTTAACTGTCTTTGGCTCCTGAAAGTTCAGTATCGCTTCGACTTTGGTAGCCAGTGGGCGAATGCCCTGACAGTCAATAGTGTGACCCAGAAAATCGAGTGAGTCAACGCCCATTTGAAACTTTTGGATATTGATGGCAATACCATGTAGGCGTAACCTTTCAAATGCCAAGTCCAAGTGTCTAAGGTGAGTTTCCTTGTCTGGACTGGCAATGAGGCAGTCGTCTAAGTATGCGTATACAAAGTCGAGACCGCGAAATACTTCATCGATGAAGCGTTGGAATGTTTGGGCCGCATTCCGAAGGCCGAATGGTATACGTAGGAATTTGAAAAGTCCGAAACGTGTGATGATAGCCGTTTTCGGAATATCTTCCGTTGCCATCGGGATTTGGTTATACGCTTAAGCCAAGTCGATTTTTGAGAATATAGATGCTCCAGATAACGTTGCCGTCAAGTCGTGTATGTGAGGCAAAGGGTAGCAATCAGGGGTTGTTTTGGCGTTCACTCGCCGGTAATCACC